GATGTTGCTGCAGCCTCAATGGACAAGGTGAAGAATGCTGGGGGCCATGTCCGTCTCATCACAAGGGAGTCCAGGCGATGGGATCCTGTCACAAAGTAAGGTTTTTCTACTGCTAGGACACAGTGGTACTGAGACTGCTCCTTTAAATTCATGTATTAATTTTGAAATAATGCCTCACCTCTGTGTGGCCCCGTTAGAGGTTACAAAGAGCTTTCACTATATGGTAGCTGTTCAGTCTTTCTAGTAGCCCTTTGAGGCACATGATGCTCTCATCTTAGAAATTAGAGATGAAGAAGGACCCTGAGACCAGGGGAACTAAGTGACCTGCCCCAGGGCTTAGTGGTAGATGCCAAGAGACCTGAGGTCAAATCTGGGCTCTGCCCCCCAATCTTGAGCTCTTTTTATTAAAAGAAATCTTTCTTTTAACACTTCTAACAGATAGCCATGGAAAGAAAACAGGCAAAGCGGCTGTTAGTACTTCCCGTGGAGGACTTGTCAACATAACTAAGAGGATACTTTTTTCTTTTATTCTAAACAAATGGAGCACATGTCCTGTCATGTTTCATTTCTAATTTTAATTCGATCAGCTCTGAGTTTACCTGTAGGAGACAAGACATTGAGCAAATCTTCTGTTCTAATTCCTATCAGCACTGTTAGCCCCTGTGCTCTGTCACTTTATAGCTGTGAAGACTCCCTGTTTCCTGTTAGCCAGCAGAGGCTGGAGGAGAGAGTTCGTAATGACCTCTCTGGCTTAATGAGGTGTGTGACTCTAGCAGAGTAGCCGCCAGTCTTTACTTGGGGTTTTACATTAGCCTGTCCTTTCCCAACCTAAAGAAGTGTTTTTCTAACTTCTCATTTTCCAAATTCTCCAGATGTTTCAAAGTCTGATTGTTTAACATAAAGCATCTAAATTCCCATGAAACAGCATATTTATACTATAATTAATTCTTTTAACACATTTTTCTTTATTCACATGGAATATAGAGTGCTGACTGTAGCTATTTCATTTCTACACTGTGACCTGTGTTTACTGTTTGTAAATATAGAAACTTTGATAACCTTTATGAAGCAATGACTATTTAGACTAACCATTCATTAGTTACCTATTCAATGTTTTGTTCAATTATAGAAAGTTTCTTGAAGAAGGAGCCTGTGACCCATTTCTAAATCCCGACACAGCCCAAGCTGATCTCACTGTGAAGGCTTCTACATCCAAAGGCTATTTGCAAGCGGTGGATAATGAAGGAAATCCACTTTGCCTTCTCTGTCAGCAACCCACTTGCCAAACTCAGCAAGCTTGTAAAGC